GCCAAGGTTATGCTGTTAAAATCAAGGTCACTGACAGAAAAAAATTTCTTTTCCACGCTATGAACTAGTAAGTGAAAATCAATCGAGGCTCTTGAAACATAGATTACTTATGATCGGAGGTTGTGTCATGACCCTGATCAAAGGAAATTCTGGCAAATCAAGGTCACTGACAGAGAAAAAAAATGTTTAAGCATAACTTCGTAATTAAGATTCACTGGAGGCTCATACTGAGAAGAAAGGTTGTTCACATTAGAAAGTGCAGTAACCTTGACCCAAGGTCTGTACTTCCTGTCCACAGCTCCAACGGAAGACCTACTTGTTGCTTTGCAACGAGCTCGGCTCTAGTTTGTCTTTAACATTCCTTGCAGATTAGAAATTTCTTCATTTTCTCTTGAACTACAATGAATGAGTATGAATATCTTTATTGTTACGTCCTATGGTACCGTACTTGACGTCCAAACTTTAGTACAACCTGTTTTGTTTTAAAAAGGACAGTTAAATGGCGTAATTTGTGATTACTTATAAATAATTTATGTAAATGTAACGCACATGACGCAGGTAGGTTAAGGCAGCACACAGATCAGAATTCATCGAATCCACACTTTTTTGTATTATGTAACATTGATAAAAGTCTTGGATGAAACTATTGCTATCATTATGCATTCTATAGCCTTCAATGGGACTTAATTTAACTACAGGAAGCCCCAGATATATATAGGAACATGGCGTACTGATAAAGTGAAAAGTTCAACACTTCCTCGGGGATAATTAATTTCTATTTGTAATAATGGTTATATATAATAATCTCCGTGCCATAAAAGGTGTTTCTAGAATCCCTCTTTCCTATCACAGACACTACGTTTCACTTTCACTCGGCCAATACTGATCAACAGTTATGAAGTCACAGGTTTGGTATTTAACCCCTGTAACAAATGAATAGATATTTATAGCACCCAGAAATGACAAAATTCTGTCTATATAAATGAAACATATAGAGACAACAAACATTATTCAAAATCAAAAGTTCATAAAACGATACAAACCAAAACCAAAAGATAACATCAGAGGAAGGCTTTGTAACTGCTTTTTTTCTCATGAACTAATGTGGATCAGCATATATTTCTCTATTGCCACGTCATAACATCACACGTGAATTCACGACCGTTTGATCACTGAACGGGCACTCTCCGATAAACTTCCCTCTCTATCGTCGTGTAGGTTATTTCCCTCCGAGGAACTGTACATAAACGAGTCAATGAAGGACTCCAACATCAAATATAGAGAAGATAGACAGTAATAAGGGTTTAAAGTCCATTTACATGTAAACAAAAAGTCTTAGGCAGAAATATATACAGGAAGGTAAAATCATCAGATATGGGATCAGGTGACAATGGCGACAAAACATCCCAGATCGATCTGACCTATTCTGACCTGTGTTCCTTGTTATGAATAGATAAATGAAAATTCTTTTAACATTAAGTAAGAAAATGATGTCGGTTTGTCAGTAGCTTGCCTACAATAATAGTAAGCATGTTCCTACATAAAAAAAGATTGATAGTGAAAGAAAAGTTGAAATCATTTCGTTAATCATTTGATTAATTTTACTCTATTAGGATCCTTTTAAATGTTCTATTTTATTTACGTGACCATAAAGAGAAAGAATTCATTCATGTTGCAGTCGTATAGCTTTAGAGAGACCTGAAAACTAACATGGTCTCTCCATTGAACATTGCTGTCCACGCTTGAATAAAGTTGTTGTTTAACGTTATATCAAACCTGGCGCCAAAACCTTACAGGGAACAGACATTCATCATCTGGCAGACTGACAGCTTTGTATAACTTAATTCTATTTCTATTAAGTATAAAAGTCAAGCACATATAACACACTTTTATTGCGAATGTCAACCTAAAGTTCTGACAAAAAGGCTGTGTTTGAGTAAAACATCTTCATGAAACCAGTAGAAAATGAAGCAACGATAGAACCTAACAACGATTCACGCATTCACTTCACTCAAAAAATGGCGTTGTTAAATGTTATATCAGATATTTTGCCTAGACCGTCTAGAGAAATCAATCACAGACAGACTGACAGATTTACTATTTCAGCTAAAGTAAATGAAAGCAATATCTACACAAGTTTTATGTATTTTGTCATTTAGAATAATGTTATTTTTTAATTTTAAATTCCCGTAACGTTTCCTCCACCTACATAAAAAATTCATATCAGGTCATATTGAAAACTGTATAGGAAGCTTTTGGAGTTTGAAAATTACTTTTAGCAAATTAAATTTTGGAAATGAGGTTATTTCGTATAATATTTTGGAAACTTGGATCAATAATACCGTATATAAAAAGTTGTGAGAATTCTGTTGAAATGTTTGTAATTTCATGAAATGAAAAAAGAAACACATATCGTTTAAATGCAATATATTTGAAGTACCTATTGCTCCAGAAAGTTGGGTTAAACCTTCCCCCATTATCAATAGTGTTTCATCTTTGCATGCTGTGAATTTATGCATCACATGATTAAACACCTAAATGTACGACGATTCTGATTAAAGCTGCGGTGAACACGGCGGGTGTGACCAGACGGCAGGGAATGCTCACTCCTCCATGGCACCTGATCCCTCCTCTGATGTTTTAGTGGTCTGTGTTTGCTTTGAACGTATTTTGTATTGTTTTATGGACTTTGATATTGAATACTGTTCGTTATCTCCATATGTTTCTTTTGATCTAGGATGATTACCAATTGGTTTCTTTTCCAGTATCTACTCTCTAAGTTCACATGATTCACGCCAATTATTATTTTTATTCTGTAATCTTTTCCCTTGCATTTATCTATTTCACTTTGACAGATCAATGAGGTACATTTCAAGGGACACCGACATCTCCAGCACCATGTTAAATGATAATGTATTGAAAACGAACGGTTTTGTTCTGTTTATTTTCATAATTATTTTTCACTCTCCAAATTAGTCAGATTCTGTGAAAATTATACTTTTTCTTTTGACTTTAGGATTTTGAGTCCATTTCTCCTCAAACTCTCTTAGACACGCACCTGGTAAATAATAATTAAGCACCTTTGTATACACTATCGACAGGTGTATTTCAATAAGAAGTTTATAATGTGCATGATATTTTTTTACCTTACAAGTGATCTGAAGAATGTTAAAATAAGTTAAATAGACTCACAGTGTGTAGTTGTGTAGTTGCATTGTAAACTGATGCGAAAATCCTAAAAAGTTGAATAAACTACAATCACATATGTTTATTTATATAGATATTATATGTTCGATGCAGTGTCAAGAGAGAAAAAAAGTACCCATCTCTAAATTACATTGCTAGCACTCTACCTCTAGGCTACCATAACTGCTTTATAGGTATATTAAATTAAATTTTAATAATAACTCTCAAGATTTCCACATGCATATTATGCATTTTTTTACATACTACTATTTCGTCTTTTACATTGTTCTTATTCTAATGATCTGTCAAAAAGCAGTGTGTGTGTATACATGGTGTATACATGGTGTATAGATGGTATTTGAACACAAGTAGTCAATTACTAATTATTAATTACACTGATCTACCAGATTGTTTGTTTAAATGTAATTCAACAACTAATTGTTATTAATTTTCTGATACTCCCGAATACATATTTTTGTGATCATATATTTTTATGAGAAAAGTGACCTGTCAGATTTTCTGTGTATGCAGACAGTGAAACACTCTTGTGACGATGTGCTTGTAAGGGCCGAAAAAGAAGTCTTCGTTAAAATCATGGAAAATCACTTTGCTATAAGAATTGTTAAGTGTGATTTCTATAAACGTGTTTTACTGTAATTACGAGTGTTGATCCAAACGTTCGTGGAATTTCTTCATATTTTATTTATTTTTAAGTGAAATTGTTTGAAAATTACAAATGAGAATATAGACACGTGTTGAATATTTTAAATAAAAAACATTTGAAATATTTATAAATGATAGTTACTCTTTGGCAGGTGCCATAGAAACGCTTGTTTAGAAATGCGGGGGAGACATTAACGCGTGTATTTTCATTTCAATTCTTGACACGTATGTGGTACGTATAATATACGTATGATACGTATATCCCTAGGTGGTATATAAAACAAAAATTATGTCATTATTACGATTGCTTGATCTTTTATAAACCTTTGTGAGAGAGTTTAAATGATTTTAGTGGATATTTAGTTTATTAGTTGATGATTTATTGTATATCTTTAAGTTGTTAGACAACGTCAAATTTCGGTCAAGTCATATTCGTTTTGTGAAAATCCCGGAATCACTCTATCTTAAACGCCTATATTGTTGACATAGGCTGGAGAAAATGCATTAAGTTACTGGTTTAATGGCATAAGAGATTTTAGAAAAAATAGAACTTCCATAGACGTTGATTAAAGGTGTGACCGCGTTTTCAAGGCTCTGATTTAGGTGTTGTTCCCCCTAGACAAATTATAAACGATAATGACTGACGTATTGTTCTTTACATTGCTACTGAAATTGGAACATCATATGAAAAGATGGGGAGTTTTTTTTAAATATGAGTGAAAAATGAAGATAAGTTTGTGCGAGAGGATACAGAAGACTTTTCTTGAGAAAAAAATGGAGAAAAGGAAAGCATATAGTAGAATTACGTATTCGAATTGGACATTTGGGTGAGATGCTTCTATAACGTGACGTGGCATATGTAACTTGACACTATGTCGAAGTCTCCCCCGGGTTTCACAACTATCTATTTTCAGAAAGTTCGTATGACTTTATTGGTGATTGGAAAGTGGTGAAATTTTCCAATATTGTTGCATTATGACGATATATTATAAATCTGCCTGTTGTTTGCAACCACCAAATCACGATAAAATTTTAGAAAGAAATTCCTTTAACTTTTGGATCACCGCTCGTATATAAAATCATTAAGTCTACCACATGTTACTCTCAACACAAGTGTTACTCATTAATATTTCAAATGCAAAATGCTATTATTAGCTATTACAACTACCTGTCAGAAAGGTGTGACTCTTTATATATTTAGACACAGAAACTCTGTTGTGTATCAAGGATCCAATCCAGAGCAGGTGAGATTTTTCATCATAACTGAGGCTGTACGGCGCAATTATATCTAGTTGTAGTGTCAGTATACTAGGTGACTGAAAGTTTCCATCTTTGTCAATTATCTGTACTGAGCTGGTGTATTCATCACACACCAGGATGTGTGATAATGCGTCTATACAGATTCCACGTGGTGTAAGTCTTTTCTGCGCTCGAGGCCCTCTGTAGGAGAAGCGATATCTTCCTTCACGATTTGTCACCACTACAGCACCAACATCAGACACGACAATATCTCCATTGTTGTTCTCTGTGATATATGAAGGACCACTATAAAGTTCCATACCAGTGTTGGCGTATTGCATTGTCTGTATGAGCTGCCCTTTGTCGTTATACCGTGTTACTTTACCTTTATCTGTTTCAGTATTATACATCCCAACCAGCAGATCTCCATTCGAAGGTGAGCTGAACACACAGAATGGTTTCCATTTTTTCATTTTCTTTATCAATCTTGACTTTTTTATGTTATCTGTAGTTTGTTGTAATTTGATTATATTATAGCTATTATCTATGTAAATGAGTTCACCCAAAGTATTCACAGTATGTACCCCATGACTAAATGTATCAAATGTATTTGGAACACTATCTGTCAGACGATACAACGTATCACCAGTTATGTTTGTTAAAATGATATTGTTGCTGTACCAGTCACTGATCCAGACCCGGTCTGAAGCTAAACAGGAAATGTGAAATACACCACTAGCAGCAGTCAGTGGGATAGATGTGTACAATACAGGGGAGGACATTATTTTCAACAGACGTTCATAAGTTATTTGTCTTTTTCCAATCTCTATGACTAGGATTTCAGTCATTGATCTCTTCAAGTCCTCTATGTTTATTTCCTCTATCGGGGAGAACAGTGTGCAATTAGATATTGCATCTGTCTTTGGAACAGTGATTTTCTTTAGGAAAAAGAGTAATTCCACTGGCCTATTTGCTAGCTGTTCAAATCTGTTTTCATACATCTCAATGCTGAAAAGGTGTCTGTCCATTTTTAATTTCTGTTGTTGTAATCTCTGAATAAACCTTTGATTTCGATTCTTAACTTCACACATCACAGTTGAAGCGAGGGCTTTTAGACCTTGGGCTTTTGTTAACATTTCGGAATGGGAGTTAAAGATTTTTCTGTCGATTACTTTGACATCAGCTTTCATTTCTTCTAGGATAAAAAAGATATTAAAGAGCATCTCACTTCTGATCTTCATAATGATTCCTTTGTTTTGCTGACGGCTTCTTTGATAGGCTGTTGTAATGTCAAGTATTTTATGTTTTGTACGTTGGAATAAACCAGGCAGTATTCTGCATTTTCTGTGCTGTTTACAATGGACACAAAGGGGAAGTTCACATGAAAGACAGTATTTTTCATAGATTCTGTTTGGATGTGTCACACATGTTTCTTGCTTTGTCAGATTTTCATATTTTTCACGATAAATTACAACATCATGGTGAACAGTATCTAGATTTATGAAGTGTTTGTCTTTACATCGTAGACACAAGTCAATTTTACAAGTATTACAATAGAATTTTGCTTCCCCCTGACATTGGAGACAAAGTGGTATTGTACACTTGGTGCTGAATCCTGGCATAGTATATTAGATGAAAACATCTACTGTATGTTTCTTGTATATTTTACTCGAGTACTTTATATCGAAAAATGCTTCTTAGACGTCAAATCACAAGAACAAAAAATTTGGAACATACCGTATAAGTAGAATTTTTAGCGAGGATTTAATTTTGGCATTATTAGCGAAGGAACCGAGATCGCTAACATTGAATATCGCTAAAAATTAATTGCATTTTATTTGTAAGAGCTTCATAAATGTGCATTTTAAAATCGCTAAAAAAGCATCTCGCTAAAAATAAATTACGAGTTTTTAAGGACAAATCGCTAAATTTGCGTCTCGCTAAAATTTCCACTTATACGGTAATGCAATGAATGAAGTAGATCGATGTGGTAGAGTCCGTGATGTCTTTTATTTCAAGTTTAACTTTGGATACATTGAGCTGACATGTGAATTGATTTAACTATTTTCTATTCAAAATTCACCAAAAGCTCCTTTCCACCAAGGATTTTTTTTATGTTCTTAGTATTTGATTTTTTATTTTAATTTTTCTTTTTTTAAGAATTTACTTGTAGCCGTAAACTTCAATCCGATCAAAGATTGATTACAGTTAAGGTATAAAGATGAAAAAAAGGTAAATCATTTTCTACTTAATTGACTATATAATTGATATTTTAAGTTAAAAAATGGTCTTAATATAGATCGGATACTTTAAAAGGAAAAAATAATACAAGGTTATACATGTATTATTATTGAATGTCAAGGTCACGTATGATTAATGGACATTAAAATTGCCATACAAAAGGTACTACATCGTTCTATTTTGTGAATGTTTTTCCCCAAAATCACTCTTTTGATTTTCTATGATGAAAGTTCATGTAAATAAAGCAGATATAATTTCTCCCTATCCATTCATTATTTTCGATGCCGTGCACATAATATCTTTCTGATTTAAACACAATAGTATTTAACAAAACTTTCCATTGTTTCAATATAAAACGCTATCGGGACACAGACGATGAAGTATCAATTTAAAATTTAAATGAATAAACAATATTAATAAATGCATGAAAGAATTACTCCTCATATTTTTTTTAAAAAAGAGATCAGGTACTTACTTTTTATTTATCATAGCATACTGAAATCCAACAGAATGCATGCATTGCTAAGTTTTTGATTGCTCCTATTGTATATCATCTTGCTAGTCATAGGTACAGGTAAACTTTTACTGTCTATTGAAACAAGGACGAGGTGTTTCCAGTACAACAGAGAGAATGAAAAAACCCTTTATGTTATGTTTTTTAAATTTTTGGTGAAGCAACAGACCATGGACGATCACAATACTTGTAGAATTAAAAACAATGATCTTACCCGATTGATTCACACCAGCTAGCGTTGGTTTTATGATTGAGTTAAGAATATGTGCTTTATGTATGGATTTATTCAATCATGTGTAAAATAAATGCTTTGATATGATTTTCTTTCCTTTTTTATTTATTTTATTAATTATAATAATAAAGTACTTTTTAGGCTTTATTGATACGCCATTTAAATTTAATGTTCTTAAAAAATTAAAAGAAGACACAATACAGTTTTTTAAGCTTGTTTTTTTTTCATTTTCGAATATTTTTACATTTTGGAAATTGTTGTTTGGTTTTTAAAAGTCATTCCTCCTCTCTTAAAGTGTAGGAAACCCTTATGTTTCGCGCATATTGTGAATTTAATAAGTTGTTTTTTTACTACAAAAACTCTTTATTAAAACCTTATAAGTTGCATCTTGTTACATGCATTTTTATTTGCAAGCAAATTGAAATTGAAATAAAATCCTGGTTTTATCAATTTTTTTAATTCAAAAATCATATGAAATGAATTTTGATATCATATTGACGATGCTCAATTAATTCCTACAGCATAGTACCGTGTGCAGAGCGAAAAACAATGTGATATAAATACAGCTTCCCTCACTGTACAGCGCCAGACCCACGGAGAAGTATTCCTCAGGTACAGTGACTTTAATCAGCCACCTGCGTCTGAAAAGTTAGAGACTGGTATCAACCGACTTCAAAAACACCATGCGTAAGTAAACTGATTCATCAATTTAAATTTTATTTGTCTGAAAATACCATATTTTTGGTTTGGCTACTTGACATTAAAAGTTTGGAAATACTGAGAGTTATATCTTGTTGGTTCAAACATAGAAGATGTTTACATATTCGTGAAATGTAAATATTCAATAAGATATATAATATCTGACGGTATAATCATAAACTTCCAAAAAAAAAGGGACAACACATATTTGACTTGTAATGAGAGGGAAGCATTTGTTTCTTAATAAAGTGCAGGGATCAACACTTATCCTATATTTGCTAACGTTTTAACGGTAACATGTACTTTTTTGATATGAGAAATCTGTACGGGTTAAGAAAATTGGAATTAACAAATATTCACTAAGTGCATCAAATAGTAGGTTTAGTTACATGTAACCATACGTCGGACATATATGTTGTTTTGGACAACTTCATGCAATACACTTTCTTTAAATCTGATTTTTAAGCGGTTAGCTTCGCTAGCCGCTTTATGGCATGTGTCCGATTTTTATCGACACCGGAAACTTCCATAAGGCGCTACCTATCGACAACGGAAACTTCAACAAAGCCTCTACCTAGTACCTATGATTTGTTTCTAACACATATAACATATGTTAAATAAAATCAAGACTATCAAAACAACATAATCTTTCGGTTTTTAATTTTTTTCTAATTTTGTTTGTCAATGAAATAAATTTATAATTGTTGTATTAAAAAAAGTTTATGCATAGGAGCATTTGGTGTCGAGATTAAATTTCCGTGACATCAGCTGATGGCGATCGGGCCCTGTGACGAAATTCGAAGTCAGCATGAAGTTTAGCTGATAACATTATCAACGCGTTAGATTTAAACTTTAGGAAGAAATGTATAGCGAGAAATATCATATTTGAACCCAATTTGCACAGAACTAAGAGGCATGAAAAATCTTGACAATTAGCACAGATTGAAAATTATATCTAATGAATGATTATTTTTGAAAGTTTGCTAAATACCTATGCAAGGTATAAGTTGTAAAAATACTTTTTAAATTTGAATTTGTCCAATTTGTTAATTATCATTTTGAGCCTTTGAGAAGTAATAAAAATTAAAATACAGATGCTTACAGGCATATTGATAGAAATTCGCATACATGTTTTTAGTAAAAAAAAAAAAAAAAAAAAAAAAAAAAAAAAACAATTTATTGCTTATGCGACATATTGAAGAAAGTGACAATGATACCTAGGAAATTCTTGCAATGGACAATTAAATTGGTTTTTATACACTGACTTTTAGTGAACCTTTGAATTTTTAAAATACTAGTATTGATGGATTAAACAACAACTTTCCTTTTCACACGTTTTTTATACAATATTTCATGAAAAAAATACTCAGTATATGTTCGTTTATACATATTGTGCAAGACTCTTTTTTAAATAATTGTCTTATACCATTTACTTATTCGAACATTTAATTGTATGAAAAGTCAATAATTATCATTTCTTAAAACTTTATTATCTTGTTTACTTGTCTTTCTTCCTGTGAGAGAAATAGTTCATACATGTAATATTAATAAACAGATGTACTCAGTATCTGTATCAAAATACAGAATGAACAGTGATCGGTCTCGAAAGAAAAACGGATCCTTAAAAGTTCCGGTGCCTAGGAGAAGTAAGCATCCCCAATGACAGGTCACACCTGCTGACCTGCAGTGAGCCTACGAAACTGAAGCTCTCTGAAATTAATTAATTCTCTGCTCGTCCATCCGTTTTTCTCAGACTAGCCAGCTAAAGATCTATGTACAGTACTCCAAACCAATTATTCTAAAGAATTTGAATGATCATTTTATTTTCTTTTTGAGTTGTTTGCTATAGTAGCCTTTACAGTTACCTACAGCTAATTTCAGAATCAATAGACCATGAAAGCCAATTAAATTTGCAACATCAACATAATTTTTGTTCGTTCTGAGCACTTTTGGACGCCACCAATGGAGACAATTAGGGAGAAATTTTTGAAATTGAACTTCCTGTCTTTCAAACTGAAAATCTCAGGTTGATATTTTGACACAAACATTTGGGACATCAGTCTGGGATGTTATTGGTTTTACCATTTAGTTAAGTACTACAAAATTCAGGGTGTCTGCTTCTTCCCTGATGACATTGGAAAAAGATATGCATGCTTACTTTAATGTCATCATTCAATGCATTTTTTGTTATTGTACACTGTACATATTCGATGAAAGCATGCTAACCGCTTTTCAGTACTTTCAGTACTTTGATTTTACGGGGTAGTCAAAACCTTTGCGAACTATCTCTATATCTACAAAACCAAAATTCAGATTAGAATAAAATTTATTTCGCACATAGCCATATACAAGTTCTATAAACAGAAAATTCTGTATAATATTTGCTCCTTTTTTACGTCAAATATGGAAATGACGTCCTTTTCCAGATCCCTTGTGACAAAAAATGGTTGTCTCAGTCAGACTCGTCAACGAACGACTGTATAATTCAAGATATATTTTGGAAATTCGTCGCTTGAAGTAGCGTATGATAATTTGTACACAATTTTAAAGAGACAAAAGACTTCCTAGAAATTCAATTCATGATTAGATTGATCATTTTAATGAAGGAAGGGAGACGTTTGAAAATGATAATTGTTCTGTCAAGGGAAAACAAGTTTGAAAAGAAATGTGTTTCAAATTAATTAAATATCATATTTTGTACCATTGGACGGGAATAATCATCAACAGAGTGAACGATCGCGAGTGCTCGCCAATACTCCCTATACTTCCTATAGAAATGTTCTG